AGACTCTAGAATTATTTCTGAAAATATTCACAGTATTACACCCTTTTATTTGTTGAAGGATTTTATAATAATCGAATTTGTTTTCTTTTTTCCTTTTTAAATGCCTTGATGTGAGATTATAATTATTCGATCATTAAATGATATTGAAAAAAGGGTTAAATTGACGGGGAAAATGTAGAAAATGATGTTAAGTAAATAAATTATACTTATGATTTACTTTTAATAACACAACAAAACGTAGAGTGAGCAAAAATAGTGGACAATAAATCTTAAATAAATCTTGTGTACACAACTGTTCCAGTTCTTAAACTTGTCTATTTGTTGATCAGTATTTTGGTGACACTTTACACCTTCTTGTGGTGCATGGGCATTCGGCCTTCTACAAGTGATATTTCATTGTTATTTATTTATTTATTTTCTTTTATTTTGATTTTTACAACTATGGCTTACAGCAAAAGTACGTGAAATTCTAGAGTTAAAAAAGTTTTCTACCTTTTCTTTGTTAGCGTTCTTTCTATTCCGCGGAATGCATTTTTCGTGCCTCGTGAAGCTTTTGTCGTCCTGGAGTTTGTATTTGCCTCACCAGTTTGTTACGTTTCGAACTGGGTTGAAAACGTAAATTAGCCACCGTAAAGAGTAAAAAAGCTGACGTTTCGAGCGTTAGCCCTTCGTCTATCGCTCTGACGAAGGGCTAACGCTCGAAACGTCAGCTTTTTTACTCTTTACGGTGGCTAATTTACGTTTTCAACCCAGTTGTTAACACTAAATTACCTGCTATACTCTCCCACCGACGCAGCACCACAGTTTCTTTAGAAACTTACCCCTTTATTCATTTGTTACGTTTCGAATTTTCTTCATTCACCATTAGACACAAATTGGACGAGAGCCAATGCACACAATTGATAACTTCTTTGAGAAGTGTCTAAAGCGTCGTGTTTAACACGCTCCGGCAAATGATGCCATCCGCCATTACGAAATATGCTAATATTCTACGTTAAGATGGCTTCTTTCAGTTCTTTGTATGATTCATTCCCTTTATTCTTGACCGGAAACGCTCAATTGCATTCTAAGTAAGACAAACTTCCTCACCCTACCCCCCAGCCCGGTATTTGAAAACTCTCCATACCGATAACTTATATTAATTAATGATGCATATTCCAGATGGTCGACTGGTAATCGTGGGCGCGCAACGAGTGCAAGTGAGGTCATCGAGGTCGCGGGTTCGAATCACGCTATAGGAGTTATTCTTAATCTGGCTTGGGGGCCGAATAACTTCTCCCCGAGTATGATTTGGAGCTGGCGGACAAGGAGTAACTCTCAAACTGGCTTGGGGGCCGAGTAACTCCTCCCCGTGGAATTTGCATTTTGTTTTTGCTGTTTTTCTTCTTTTTTCCATAATTATCGCCAATTTTATCATCTTTCTTCCTTTTTTTTCTGAGCAATTATCTTTTTAGGTCAGTGTGATATTTTTTTCTAAAATGGGACTGTAGGTGTCGGTTACTTTTTCCTTTTTTTTTTATATCAGATGTAACATTTCCATTTCATTTTATGCCATCATATCGTTTATTTATTTTTAACTACCCTTTTACAATTTTTCTTATCTGGCTTATGCATGGTGAGTGATAGTGACCGTTCAAATTATTCCAAGCTAAGGTAGTGACAAATCGTCGCCCATAAGTAACTAAACGGAGTTGATAAACCTCAAGTCGTTATGAGATCAAATAATACTCTCACATGAACAGAAACTCGGTGGAACATTTAATATAAATAAGGAAAAACTTTACGGAACTCGTTCTCTCATGTCTACTGCCATGAGGTCCCAAAAGAACGTTGTTTTATTAGCATAAATTGTTGGTGTAAAGAGTTTTTTAAATTCCAGGTTGGGGGGGAAGGGTGAAGAAGATTGTCTGACTGTGGGTGTAATTAGGCGTTTCCGGTCAAGAATAAAGGAAATGAATCACAAAATAAAATTGATAGAGGTGATATAACGAGGAACGTGAGCATATGTCGTAACGGGCCGGACGAATTCGTTTTCTGGGGCTCGTTAGACACAAAGATTCGGACACTTCGAATTCAATCGAATTCTCAAACTGGGGAAGCCGTCAAGTGTGTGCATGGGTAAAATGTCACACACAAGGTGTCACGCATTTTTACCTCTGTAGACGCATTTATTACACATAAATTTTTTTAATTTTAAGTTCACTTTTTACCGGACGCGACATTCATTTGTCGGATTAACCACTAAAGACTTGTAGTAACGGCTGTGAATATATGAAAGTCATATATTTGAACTGCAGATAAAGACGTGAAGAAGGTGATCTTCGCAGTAGAACACTACTTGAGAAGTGATAAAAATAAGGCCTGAAAAAAATTCAGGCCTGTACGCGCTGCACCTGTATCGCAGAGGTCATGGGTTCAAATCCCGTACAGGCCTGAATTTTTTTCAGGCCTTATTTTCACTACTGCTCAAGTAGTGTTCTACTGTGAAGATCACCTTATTTAAAGGCTTGTAGTGTTGGCAGCTATGCTGATACACGAAAGGAACATATCTCATTTCGTTGTCGCCTGCGAAACATACCATCCAAAGTACATTCATTTTGGTACAAAAATTAGATCCCTTACGCAGAGGCGTAAACATTATAACACGTTGAAGCTGGAGGTTTTACCGAGATTGCAAAGAAGGAAACTGTGTTTTACTTTGCCTTCTCTGTTTTTTTTTTCTTTTGTTTTTCTGTTAAATGTCAAAATTTTCTCATGCTCGTAAGGTAGCATTCTCAGTTCTGGATAAAACGGTTTTACGTGGGGTTTTACAATACATCGATCATGAACAGTCATTCCTTATGGAGGCTGACAAGTATGCCAGTTTTTTGTCATGCACGTCCTGTAATTTTCTGTGATACTTACACAGCATATTTAGCCGCAGATACATGTCCGCTGAACACCTTCATACTCAGCCCAGGTGCTCGGGCGTTGATTATCCCGTAAATTTTTCCGCCGGATGCGAGGGAGTCGATATATTTTTGGGTAAAAATTTCGGGTAAATGCTCTTTGAGAGGAAACCAAACTGCTTTCTAAAAAAATTTGGTCATCTGGGAAAACGCCAGTGCGCATCGTTTGTCGTTGGCGTTCTCACGATGGTGACGTTACTCGGAGAAAAGGCGGGAAAAGTAACGCGTTTGGGACCTGCTGCCAAATGCCAGTTATGCTACAGCTGTAATTTTGTAAACAAAGGTTGTGCCAAGGATGTTGCATCAAACATTTTGAAATTTGTTTTGTTTCCTCCCGACATCAAAGGCTTGTTATCGTAGGAAAGAGGTATGGAAGTAAGGAGTATTTTGGAAGTCGCTTTTGAATGGTTCTGTGAGTGTGGGGCCTTTGAACAGCTCAGAAAACAAAGTAAATGTTACTCTGCAGATTCCACGGTAAGTCATAGGGTTGTAAAAACTGTGAAGACATTTATGCAGTCGTGAATAAGCTGAAATTGCAGCAAACAAAAACAAGTTGATCAGTATTTCTTTGAGAAGGAAATGCATAAATACATGCCATTATTTTTGGATTAATTCATGTCACGGTTAGGCCTTTTTTAATTTAATTGAGAAAAGGGCGTCATGGTATTTATATTAATTGACTTTATTCCTTATAAACGAAAGTAAATAGCTCCCAGCCTTTATTATTTTGAGATCAAAACCCATCTCAAAGTGGAATTTTATATGTGATTTTATCAATGGTTATTTTATGTATATTAATATCACAAGGGATTTTTTTTCTATCACTAATCAATTAGATAATTGATTATTATCAAGGTAGACCCAACTGTCTGACTTTGATATGCTAAGAAGACATCCACAGAGATTAGATGACACTTGGCTCTGAAGATGAAATAATCCTATATGAGTTTTTTATTGTTACCACAATAAGTATAGTACCCAGAAAGGTCACTCTTATGAGAATTTTCAGATGAGACATTTTTACAACAAGTGTTTTTCATATCCTTCATAGGAAAAGACTGTTTACAGATTTGTGTTTAAAATGGATCTTATGGATTTGCTTGACTTTAATGGTATGGTTTGTGTGATTTCAAACAACATCTTTTCAATATTACTACTTCTTATGATATTGTTGTAAGAAACAAAAATGTTGTCATGCCCCTATTAGAGGTTTCCATTAACCATTGTTACCAATTTTTGTCTCCTAGCTACACTAGGAAATTTGGCTATAGTGGAGCCTTTGAACGCCATAAATGTTTTTCAAGAGGTAAGAGCTAGGTCATGGTTGGTGGTTTTTAGGGGACTCAGGCACACTCCACATGTGTCCTGCGATAGCTAGTTAACAAGAATATTTCTCCCAAAGGCCAGCAGTATTCTGATTTCTTGTGTAACATAGATGTCATAAATCCACTTAATATATGCTTCTCCACAATTCTAAGGTTAGGTGTTCAGGAGGCTCTACAGGATTTTTTGGATTGTGCAAGATCTGGATGTTTAACATAGCGCAAGCTTCAAAAATGTCAACATGCAAAATGTACATGGTGGCTCAATGCGACTGCACAATCATTATTGTTAAAAGTGTATTAAACAGTACAAAACAATACAGTTGTTATGAAATTAACTCTACAGTTTCCAGCAACTATACCACTAATACTTAGTTGATATCCATTAGCCTTCTAAGCCTGAAAAAGAGGTCGACTGAAAAGCAAACAAAGGTGGAAGGTTGCAAAATGACAACACATTCAAAAGCTTATGCATGCACAGTTATCAATCTTGACAAAGTGCTAGTTTATTATGGAATGTTTTAGGAGTAAGAAAAAGGGATCTTCTAAGTGAGATTTATTGGACTTCCCTCAGTAGATATTTTTGAATTTTTAAATAATGGTTATAACAATTAAGTCCATTTTACAGTTGCATGCTTGGTTGCCAAGTCTTTGAACAGGAGTGAGGCTAAGGGTGACCTTGTTATGATACAAACCTTGATGCTTTTCAAATACAAATTACTTTGTTATCATGCTAAGTAGATACTGGTTTCTATCACAACAGGGTCACCTTCAGCCTCACTCCAAATCAAAGGCTTGGCAAGTAGGTTCACAATTGTGAAATGGCCCATTGAATCATGAAGAAATTGACAATGACAAATTTTTATGTTTATTTTATAACAGACTACTGGTAATCAAAATTTATGCCAGTTAGAAAAAAAAAATATTGCCACCAATAATGTTTTAAGATTATGATCAAACAATAAACCTTTTCTCTGATATGCTCTGCACAGGTCTCTTATATTGTTATTCACACTCTGTCATGGATACCAGATTTGTTGCTCTCATCACAAGTTCTTGTTGTAGTCAGGTTTTCATCAGTTCCACCATATCAAGAGTAGGTTCATTCTTCCTAAAATAATTTTAATACAGTTGAGTAGATACAGGGTATGATTTACAAGACATGGTATACATGCACTGAGATCTTTATAAGATAGCCAAATTTAAAGTTAGCTTCTCTACATGTGTATCTATCTCCACACTAGTTTCCTGTAGCTCAATTTTTCACTGAGAGAAGAGAATCATCTACAGAAGAGGTGTTATATTTGTACACTAGTATAATTTGCCCCTGGTAGGCCCACAGATATTATCATTATTTGTAGCACATTAATTTCAACACAGACTGATCTACCTTCAGTTGCTAAATGGACAGTGAAAGCTAATTTTGATAAGTTTCCACTCAGGTCTATAAGCAGTTGGAATCTGGCTGGTAATGGTCAGCCTAATCTCATGAAGATATGTGGTATCATAAGTGGAATTACAGCTGTTACTCAGTACACGTGAGTTTTAATTTAAGCACAAGCTGTAATTTAACTACTTAAACTTTTCTGGCATTTAAAACTACCTAATTATAATTGTATCTTAGTTGAAAATTAAGATTTATCGTAGACAAAGAGCTTTTGTCTTCGTCTAGATGGTAATGTATCATAAAAGACACAGTAGCCTGATCTATACATGTATCTCTGGCTAGAATTACTGTGTTGTGTTCTTGTGCAAGACACTTTATTCTCCCTACACTCAGTCTAATGAACCATTGGGAAACCTGAAAAAATGCTAAACCTTGCATCCCAAATGTTAAAATAGGGATTTTTTACTTGTTTTCTTCTCTGTCAGTTACTAAACCTTGGAGTCACAGATAGCAAGCAGTTATTCCTCAAATAGTGATAGTGTAACAGTTACAACCTTTGAATAACAATGGTCCAGTTTGTGCATAATAATGTTGTTAGATGTGAGATCTTTGACAGAATGTCATCCTTGATTCTCTAGCCAAAGTGCAAGATTCTACTGTCCTCATTCTGATTGTCTTGGTTCTGCTAAATATTGTTACATCAGAGTTCATATGGCTGGAAAAACAGAAAATGTCACTGTAAGGTAAGCTGCACACTTGGGATCTTGTGAAGTAGCTTTTTTAGCAAGCAGATATCTGAAGGGATTTCTCAAGGCATTTATAGGAATGGATGATTTAAGAAGAGCATACATTCTATACATGTAAGTCAAAAATGTGCCACAAGTTTAATTGAGAAAGTTGTTATCATCATTGAGCAGCCCCAAGGCTAAAGAGGGTGACAAAGAGTGTATCATTTATGGTAACCTATAGAAACTTAGGTTATTGCCTTTGAATTAAGATTTAGTTGTTCTAACTCATATTTACCTAAAATGGTCTACATTGTGTTTTGGTAGGAGTGATTTTGTGTGTAGATACTGTGGATGCTCTCTACTTGAAGATGTTACTTGCCGTACTTTAGCAGGTAATACATATAATGTTACCCTTTCCTTTAATAGGGGAATTTGAAATGTTTCTTTTCTCAATTTTTTTTCTTGATTGGTTTATTTTTCATCACTAGATAAATGCATTGTTCAAGTCATATCACCATTAACAGTAGACAGGAAACTTTGGATCAATACTGGGTGTGGAAAATTTTACCAAACCATCCCAATCTATGTCCGAGGTGAGCAAAGAATAAAGAGGAAAAGTTAGAATTCCTACAGGGTGGAGAGAACTAGTTGATTGTTTCACGACTAAGGGGTAGAGCTTATAGCACTTGAAAAACAACCTTAAGTAGTAAGCAGAAATTAAAATATTTTTTAATTAATCTTGGGTGATTGGTTTAAGACCCAGCACCCAAAATCACTCCAAGGTTATGCTGCCTCCAATTTATTGCATGTCTTAGTTTGGTTTGTTTTCAGTTTAACTACATGGATTAATTAAACTACACATTTGATCCACATGTTTATGGACATCATATACATGCTAGTTGATTCCCAGGGTATTAATTCTTTTCTTTTTCTTATTTTCTCTTAAAGATGAACTCATCAGGGAGGTTCAGATTGGCTGTTACTGTTCATTTGTTCTTTTACCCTCATGTGAAATTCATAGTTCTTCTTTGGAACTTCATTGTACTCCAGTGTTTGAGGTACACCTGTTAATGATGTTGACAGCTATCTTACTTCACTCATTTGCCATAAAAATTCACTTACACTTTGTTATGTTTTGATGTTTCTTGCCTGAACAATAAATTTTTTCTTTGTTGTCACTTATTCTGATTATTAATTTTTTTACAGGCAAACAACATAGAGAAGGTAAGACTAAATTGTGAACAACTGATAAATTACCAGTTGCTGGTAGTTGATTTGAAAATAGTTATTTATTAGTGCATTTTCATTAGCAGTAAAAGTGCAGATTTATTTGTGATACGTATTGCAGTGGCAGCCACCCCACTTTCTTTGCATGTCATGATTTTGGTTTATTAAGTCATAAATGGCATTTGGACTGTTTTGAAGCTTAAGAAAGTTTTCCTCTGAAATCAATCTCCAAATTATTTTTGAAGCCATTGTACCATTATAAGATAATTGGAGTAGGCATTTTGGGCCATATTTTCAGAGTTGTTGTTTCTAAATTATGCACCAAATGTTTATTTTAATTTGTCTTTTAGATGAGTTCTAGTCCTTTCTTGAATCTGCTACCCTCCAGTTTGCCAAATAGAATAGAAATGCTTCATAAAGGTAGTGCTATTATCTTTTGCTATCAGATACATGCCTGGAAGTACTACAAGTAAGGACTGACAATCATGAATATATTTCAGTCTTTATTTCAAGTCTACTACATCAACTGCTGTAGATATGTACTCTATACATTATAACTGCCATGAGACACAAACTTATCATTATTTCCTTTTCCACAAAGAGTTCATCAGTTAACTCATTAACCAAAGAAAATTATAATTACAGTCTTTCATGGAATAAATAATATTATTTTCTTTTATTTTTGAAATAGACAGAGGGAGCTCAGCATGGAGTTTTGTAAGCAGTCTATCATATTGCTTTGGAGGTACTTTAAACTGTTATTAACTGCTTTTTTATGACCAGTTTAGCTTGAGAATGCTCTGGCTGATTTTAAGACTGATACAGTACACTTACAGATGAATGCCTTTTTTGAGGATAGGGGGGAATTTTAATGTGGAGAAAAAAATTGAAATTGTAGATTTTTTTTTTAACCACAGACTAGTTGAAAACATGAGAACAATAATTATCCAATACATGGTGCACATCTTCTTATTTCTCTCATAGCATCTGTGACACCACCTGGAACATTCTTTCATCTAAAAATGTTCTTGCTCATGTCCCTACTGCTTCTTCACTCTTCTGATTGCCCTGAAGATACTAAACAAGCAAACTCAAGGCATCTTCACTTGCTTGTTATTGCTGATGACCTTCTTAGGATTCAAAGGCTATTTCTTTACATGGCATCATTTGCAAAGAGAATGCTTGTTTATTCCCCTCCAAGTGATTTATTCCCATCCTGTTGCCGGGATCCTTTTGGCTCAGGCACATTTATGATTAATGGTGAGGCTAACGCAAAGAAGCTTTGTAGATAGATGTTATGGTAAAACTTACATTCTAAAATTCCAAAATTGTGTGGGGTTAGAAGAAGGTGATAAGAAGATATATCTTTTCCTTCCTCAAAGAGAGTCAATTACATTTCCACAGAGAATGGGGTTTCAAAATTAAGATATTCTCACTAATGAAACTTATTTCCTAAGAAGGGTCGGGGGGGGGCAGGGTGAAGGCAGGTCAGACCTGCTCCCCATGTGGTAGGGGTACAGAGCTGTATCACTAGGTTTTCTTGTAAAAAAAGGAGATAATAGCGCACTTTGTGGTTTATCCATCTGCCTAGTAACGATAATTGTTTTTTTCTTGTTCCTTTGCTTCAGCTGGATGTATCTCTCTGGCATCTGATGGTGTTTGTCTGATTCCTAATGCAGCTGTCTTAAAGAAAGATGAAAAGGATAAGCTTCAATGTGGTATAAATTATGAACATCATTCTCTCTTGGTTGTACTTAATAAGCTTGAATAAAACATAAACCACTGCTTAAATTTTGATGATTTTGAATAATCTCAAGATATCAGTGAAGTGTCCTCCCATCGATTCTTATAAACAAGTTTAAAAGATTGTTTGCTATGTGGATTTATGTCATGTGCTGAGTCTGCATTTTTATTGATTCTTACGTATGATCTATTGGAGGAAAGATGCATACATGACATCACCATGTGAAATGTCCCCCTTAAGTCCTATCTCAGCTAGTAACACCACTGATTTTGCAAGTTTTGACCATGAAATTTCTTGCAAGCATAGTGTATTACTCTTCATTTTGATCTCCATTCAAATTAAATGTTCTATCTTGGTGATGAGTTGTTAAAGATATCTAAGACTATCTGGTAGTTACATCTTTTTTGGACTTCCTCTTCACCAGCTTTAGAGAATGGATGTATGGCAGTGAAGGTACCCAAAAATTTTGGGTCTTATCAAGGTCGCCAGGTCACCATGCCACTAACCAGCAGTGTTTGGGTGTGTTCTGAACCATCACAGAAATCCAGTCATCATGCAGTCCCTGATGATGATCCTGTGTTAAACATGGGTCTCTCAGTAAAGGCATGTTTATTCAATTCTTGCTCACGTGTAGTTATTAAATTGTCTTTCCCTTTTTGCTAACTCCATCTCTTTCTTTTCCTGAAAATGATATTTTAACCTTTCGCTCTTTGCAGGAATGTTCAACTTTGCCAAGGGTCTTTGTAGAGTAAGTACAAGCAGGCAGGATAAGTGTGATTTATGTGTGAATGTATGGTATGTTAGGATTGCACTTCTAATTTTGAACCACCTGTCTTCTCCTATACTTCAACATTTTTAATCTGTCCTGGTTTTACGTAACATCCTATTGAGATATCATTTCTACCTGTAGTCAGTTTTCATTGGTGTTTAACTTGAGTGGATCAGCGGAGCAGTTTGAAAACTCTGATGAGTCAGTGTGCGAAGAAGTGTTAAGGAAAGCCATAGATCATGAAGAGGATGAAGATGTCATGTACATTAGTGACGAGGAAATGAGCCAGGTAAAGTGAGTTGTTCTGATACCGTGTATGTCATTGCTAAGTTATGTTCCTCTAGCATCAAAGTAAGGCAGAAACGTGAGAATGGTAAAAACAGCCATTAATTAACAACGAGAAAAAAAATTTTAAAACGATAACTAGAATTGTTGGCTCCGTCTCATTCTTAGAAAAGTCGACTTGACACAAAACCACCCATTCGTGCTTACGTCCAAGTCCAGTGGTTCAATGCAAAAGTGTAACTTGTGTGTAGCTGTGGTTGTCTTCTGAATTTCTTTATTCAGTTCCTTCACCACGCTGGGCAAAAACACGTTAGCCTGACAGTGGCAGCACAGGATCTCATTCAAGGGTATTATTTGGCAAGTAGGCGAACCAAAAACTCTCTTTCAACGGTTGGCGCAGACTTTCCTTCTTCTGCGTTACAACATCTGTAAGTTTAGCCAGTATCGATTCCTTGTACCCATCTCAAGGTCGCTAGATTTAATTTCTTTGCAGAACCCAGTTTTGATTTACAGTTTGTGTGTAATCTGAGTTTTGTTCCTGCTTAACCGCCCTCCTTTCCACTTTGGTGTTTATTACTTCGTTACTGATACAACATATTCCCCTGCTTCTATTATTGATTAAACTATATAGAGTTATCATTCTAACTACCTACATAGAATTTTACTGCTATCGTTACTTTTGTCAGTCTGATTCCTCCAGTTCTCTTCGTTTTCTTTTATTTCCGGTATTTCAAAAGTATTTATACCGTTTTCCCTTTGTTTATCGAGTACATGCAAATAGTTCTTCTTAACCTGCCCTTTCTTTCTTTTCCAGGACCAGTTTGGCCATTGCTCATGCCAAGTTATCACTTCGTTCAGAGGTAAGCAAATCTAATCGGGGACGGTCTTGTCCAGTGAGTACACTTTTCTTATCGCCTGCAGGCGTGGACTGGCATACAAGGAGGGTGGTTGCAATTTTATCTCGATGTTTTTTTGCTTCTAAAGAACCTTTGTGGGAAGAGGATGCAATTATGTTTTTCTCATGTTTGACTCCGATTCAATGGTGTTATTAGCTCCGAAAGACTATGGACGCTCCACCATATTCTACGCTTGGTTCCTGTATCAGAGCGAACTTTGGTTGGGTAGGGAAGGGGTGCGGAAAAGTGGTTTGATTGAAAAAACGGTTACTGTTTTTGTAGAACCGTGTTTTATTTTGTTTTATAAACAAACACTAAAAAATGGATTCCATTTCACGAACACGTGCTCATAACGTCGATGATGACGTGGCTTTGCTATTGGACATCTGAACTGACGGTGTTATCTGTCTGAATGGCAATGAGAAGTTCGATAAAGGCAAATCTTGTGAGGTGCGAAAAACTTTTAAAAAGAAAGTCAGGAAGCGTTCGGGGAAGCATTTTAGAATATTTCACAAATAGAGTTTTGGTCACATTTTATAGTTTCGGCCCTATAACTGAATGAATCTCACCTTCAATTATTTCGATATTGATTAGACTAACGGACACAATGTTCAAGAAAAATTGAGACTGACCGAAAACGCAAGCTCTTCTGATCCTTAACAGTCTCAGAGGGGAACCGTGTCTGAAATATTCTTGTTACGTACTTTTTAATCATACTTGTCACATTAGGAAGTCGCTTTGCTATCCTGCCCAAATTATGTCACCATGGGATTTTTTGCTTTCGATACTTTCGACTTACTTTTTTACTTTCGATAGAAAGATTCTTGAAAACAATTTGTTTCATGAGATATATTTTGTAAATAAAATTTATCACCGTCATCAAGACTTAAGTCACGCACAGAAACTTTATTGACACCGATCCTGATTTAAAGCTTTAAAAAAATAATAATAAAACAGAATCATTGATTTTAGCACACGTAGCTGGCATAAAGGCACGCAGCTCATCGACGGCTTATTGACAGCAAAGTAAAAAACATTGGTTTATGTGACAGGAAACGAGAACTGAGGAAAGCTCTTTTTGACGTGTTCTACAAAATTTACCGAACATCTATTGGAGAGAAAAGGCTGTGGAGCCGGCTAAAGTGATAGTATTGATTGTGTAGGTGTAGTAAATACGTGGGCTTTAGTACCTGAAAGTCGAATTTTTGCCTTTTAAATTAACGTGGCAGCAATTTTTTTAAGCAAAAGTTGCTATTAAAAACTGTTTACCGAAGAGGCGGAACCACTGGGTTGACGCGTTTTTCACTAAAAATTTCACGACATTTTGGATGACTTTGATTGTCCAATAATGTGGCTTCCTAAACTCATAACTGTAAACTGACTAAAATGATCGTTAGTCCGCGCAGAAGTAGTAAATCTCGTGAGAAGCAGCCGTGTGTTTCCTCAGAGGAGTGCCAACTGTAACAAAGCATTTTCATTAACGTTCGTAAACCCGAGCTTTTGTCCTCCAAGTACATGTTAAGCGGCTCGCATTAATTCTATGAAATGATGTTATTTTTGGTTGACTTCTCAATGCTGAACTGAAGACCGACGAAATGACATCGTGAGAGGGTGATTTGGCGTCCCCCGTCAACCTAAGTGTCTTCTGATGGTGAAGTGAAAAGGCGAGCCCGACCAATTCGAAGTATACCACCCGGCAGAAGATTTTAAGTTAAATCAGGATCGGTGTACTTTTAAGTTAAGTTTTCGAGTATATGCAAATAAATAGCCTTTGTCGAGCAAATTTCTCAAACATTCAAAGCTCACAAACATATTTTTTCCTCTTTATTTTTTCATCATTTTTAATTTCTATTTTTCTCGCCGAATTGTTGTTTACAGTTTCCACACTCTTGTTTTTACGTGGGACGGGACTGAAGTCTAATAATAATTTTAAATTACAAACTATCAGAAAGCATTGTTGAAAACTGCTTTATGAGTAATTGTTTTGCTGGAATTAACGTTTTACGTTTCTATCACCTGTGTCTGTTCCCAATAATAGTTACTTTTTCTCACGAGAAACAATTTAAATATGTTACCGTAAACAACCTCTTCCTAGTTTCACCCTCGATAGCGTTTTCTTGAGTAGCTGCCGAGTAGAGAAAATTATGAAGGAAATAACTATTCGAAAAGCAGTGTCGAGCGACTTTGCAGCCGTCCTAGAAATGTCGGAAGGCATTTACAACGGCCATGACTACTTTCCTTGCTTTTTTCATCAATGGCTGACCAAGCCGAACCGTACTATTTTTGTTGCTCAGTATGGTGAAAAGCTTGTTGGACTGAGAGCTATTCACATCGTTGACGGAGGCGAGACTTTCATAAGTCAAGGCTTGAGGATTCATCCCAGATTCCGTGGATTGGGCTTGAGTACCCGTTTAATCGACGCCATTCACAAGCATATACGACAAGAATATCCCAAAGTCTGCCGAGAACGCTTCACGACCAAATCCGACAACATCGAGCGTCTTTCTATTCAGAAGAAGTACGGCGACACCGCCTTGTTTGAGCGAGACATCTTGGCCTTCTACGTGAACAGAGAAACTTTGAAACCACATCATCTGGAAGCCGTGGCTGGTACTTTTGATTTGAAAGTGAAAGCTTGTTCAAGACTTTTCCTTTACAATTTTATTTTGAACGATTCAGTGGCAAACATGTTTCCAGGCCGTACGATCGTCGTTGACTGGGAGCCTTTCGAAGCTCTCCGATCCAATATCAATTGCCTTTTCGAAGAGGGTGACTGCGTCTTTTCGGACCGAGATGCAAACGACTGCTCCACTGGCGTGCTACCGAAATCGTTCGCTCATGGTCGGCGATCGCCCCGAGTAAAGCACATGCATTGGGTGGCATCTATTTACACAGAAGACCCAGTCATGTTCCAAGTACACGTTGTTGAACAGCTGAGGAGAGCATGCGAGCAAATAGAAGGTGATTTCATTTTCTGCACCTTTCACAAAGATCGTCATACCAATTGGGGCAAGAAGCTGCTGGAAGAGTCAGTCGGCTTGAAACCGGTGGAATTTTTCCGTGATTTTGGACTGATGATGTTTGAGCGAAAATTTCCAAAATGACAGAACCTCCACGGAACCTGTAGTTGAAGTTTTCTTCATTTTCTTTGTTTAAGAAACTTCTTTTTCCCCAGCTTTACACGCGGAAAGAACTATCTTAATTTTTTTTTTAACTGATACATGAATACCAATAAATGAAGCCACATTTTCCTCAGCCCCTGTAAATCCTAAAATACAACGATAGAAAATCGTTTTTGTTTTACTCGAAGGTTTCAGAAGAGGACGTCGTGATGGCCATTGTCCTGTACGAGGACTCTATAAAATGGAAATACGGTAATATGATGCAATTTCGCTCCCCAGATGGCCCTCCTTAGGCCTACGTTGTCCCCACAGCTCTGCCCTTAATTTTCTGTCGTTTTCTAGTTTGCTTTTTGTTTCATTCACGAACGATACAATTCAGTATAATACTTCATTTTACATGTTGAAGAGAAAAACTAAAATCATAAGAGTCAAGCCTGTAATGAAAATATTAGCCATGGAAATATGAAAAATTCTGAGTACTCCCTTTATCTGGCAACAAGTATGACTATAAATGACCTGGGTTCTTGAGAAGCAGAGCTAAAAAGTTTGTCCCAAAACTTGAAAAATTCACATTATGTAATCAAAGAAAAACCTAAATGGTACAATGGACCGATGAAAACCCTTTGCAAGAACGTTCAACCGCCTCTAAGCGACGGAGAACTTCTTTAAACAAGATGAGATCATATAAGTGGTTATATAAATAGTTTGGTGTTACTTTAAACTCTTGCTTACTTCAAAGACTCGATTGAAACTGTGTAGTCAGTGGTTGACTTAGTCTGATTGTAGCAAAATAGTTCTCACATCGCCTCCCGTGGAGCAAGAGGAGACGGAGAGCAATTTTCAGTTGAGTGCCGAAGACAAACCGGAATTACGTTTTTCCTTCTCTTCAGGCTGTATGTTTGATTTCACTCGAGCTCTCGCTGGTTCTTTGTGATATGTTTTTTTCAATTTTAATAATTGGCCGTTGGATTTGGTTTCTAGTTAATCGAAAAGTACTTTTTTCCGATGTTGCTACCTTACAGGTTATTCGGGTCTCGGGCCAGTGGACCCTCCTTCTCCCAGCTCGGATGGCGCTGAATTTTTTGGTCCAAAGGTCAGTCGAGTGACTCACGCTTCGGCAGTATTCAAATCTATCTACCAGTTACCATAATATGACAATATCACCAAGGTTTTCCAATTTTATTTGTCTACAATTTATCAGTGCCACAATAGTTTAGTCATCTCTTTGCATTATAATGGGTGATAAAAAAGTGATTTCAGTTGTCCAATTTTTATCTATTTTCTACTTTATTTTTGTCTTTTGGTAGAATGATATCAGGATGGAGCAAATTCAAGAAAGAATTCGGCGATTTTGCTCTACTTTCAAAGATGGTCACTATTCTCCATTCAAAGTGTTTGTGCACGAGGAGTGATTTTTTAAGATTTTATATTGCCGAATATAACACTCCGCCAGTGCAGAACGAATGTAATTTTTATGGTGGAATTGACGAAAAAATTTGAAAATGAAAATTATTTATGTTTTCGTAATGTTCGCACAATTGAATAAAGATACATGGAAACTTGGAAAAATGTGCCACGTTGGTCTGCGACATTCATCCTGTGTACCCTGATCGAGACCTGGCACTAGCTAATGAAATATTCCGCTGGCCATTTGGGCGAGCGTTGTCGTCATGGTAACGATTATGTACCGCAATCGAAGGCACTTATCGACTCGCGTTTGTTCTCTGTAAAGCAGATGTTTTGAGATAAAAACTTTTCACTATTGAGTAAAACCTCAGCACGTGGAGCCGAAATGGCTGAGGTAATGTATGGCCTGGTCTCTGAGGCCAGAAAGAATCGATATTCAGCAATACCGAAGCTGACAGAAGAAGGTAAGTCAATATGAAAATCGAAAACTAACTTATAATTGCGTCCTTGTTTGGTTATTTTCTCCCGCTGTAATTGTTTCACTTTTCTTGCCCCTATGTCTCAGATATTGTTAATGTGTGGGACAATGTGTCAAGATTCATCGAGAAACAAATGGCTCTTCAAAAGGTTAGTCGTAACTCTGCGCTGTAACAATTTGTCTTCTTGCACGTGCAATGGAATGTTTTCTTTCCGCGCAGATCGCTGGTTTATTTCTCTTTCGGGATTTTTTTTTTAATCGTTGTAAAATACATATAAAATTACCTTTAAACAGATTAACTACCGAAGATCGTGTAGAAAATGTAAACTCTGTGGTCACCTGTTTGATTTCGCAAATTCCAACTTTGTTTGAGAAAGGGTCTAAGAGAATCTTCTATGTTTCCTGCAGGGTGTATGTGTGCCAGGCCTCGGTATCTTCACCTACTCGCAAAAAAAGCTGGACGTTGGAAATAATAAATACATTCAGATCCAGAGACCAGTTTTCATGTTGTCCGAGAAGTTTGCGATGACTCACGCTCTTAATTACACCAAACATCACACCACCGGTAAACTAATTATATCAATAGCTTGGATTGCATTCTCTTTCTTTGTGGGGTGTAGGTGTTGCCTGCTGAGTTAAATATTCGTTATTTACTCTATATGGTGCGAGAGAGTTAAAACTTCATTAACACGTTATTAGAACCTTGTGAAAGTGGAGAGCACTTTTATTCAACTTGTGTAAACTGCTTTGCTACATCAACCTTCCGTATTGATATAAAAATATAAACGGATTTATGTCATCTTATAATTATTAATGCTTTTCACAAGGATTGTGTCGTGTAGCTACAAAGTGTTTTATTTTGGAGCAGCATCAGAGCAGAAAATATTGCTTTCACCTAATTTTGCAATCAATTTATTTATAGCTACTTAGACTTTTGGCATGTATACATTGATTTTTTTTCAGTTAATTAACTTGCATATGGAAATTTTAAGTAGGCACTTCACATATTTTTTTTGGTAACATTGCATTTCTACAGCATGACTCAAATATCAGATTCCTCTGTAACTTTTGAAATTTATGGCTCTCCCTTGCTCAGTATAGTTTTCTTTTGGGACAAGCCTAAGGGGTCATTTCTATTTCTGGAGGGAAGACAAGTTCAATTTGCTCTAATCCTCCCCTCTCTAACTGACATATTTTGAACCCCCACTTCCCAATTGGATTTGGTCATCCTTGATATGTGTCTATGAATTAATTTGCCTTTTTCCCTTGAAAAATTAGCATCTCTGCCCCTAATCACTGAAGCCAAAATAAGACTTATTATCTGTCACTGAAAAATTGTGCTTCACTCATTTTTTGTTGCCTGACTTACATCATATTTGGTGAGGACAGGATTCTGTTAAGAACATAAATTTCCCTTATTCACTTTTATATTAATATTTCTTTAATTTATTTCTACCACAGCATTGAGTATGTTATGCCAGGGTAGACTCTATCCCCACATTTATATATGTATATATTTTTTTTTTTGTATGGTAGGTCAAATTCCAGTGGTACAGCTTAATTTTGCTGCTCTTTCAAATGAGACACCATTTAACAGAGACACTGTAGAAAGCTGTGTAAAGGAAGTCCTTCAGGCTCTGAGTAGATCTGTACAGGCAAAAAGGAATGTAGAGTTCCATTTTTCAGGGATTGGGCGGCTTTCAATAAGAGATTCCAAAGTGAAAATGAAGTTCTACAAAGAATTCCTAAGGAGCATGGATGGTTCTGGTAGTCTAGTTCATGCACTGTCCAATGTAAGTACTGTTTAAATGTGCTCTTTGAAGGGTTGAGTAAAATAATGTGGTGAAGTGTCATACTGTAAAGTTAAACCTCGTTTACATGAAAGCAATCACCTGAAATGTGAAGAGGCCTATCAGTCTATAGGATGTGGTTGATTACAGAAGTGGGCTGCATTATGGAGATCATATTATGGGAAGTTAGTTCTTGGAAAACTAATCCATAAAACACCAAGAATTTGATTAAGACTATCATGCACAACAATATCATTAATACAGATATATTAGAAATTATTAATGAAATGGATAAGGTGTTTGTGGGACTTAGGTTGCAACATTTCAGTATCAGGGAAAATTACTTGCCTTAAATCAAGGTATTGTACAAATGATGGTCACCTAGGAATGCTGTCACTCTGATAATGGCATTGTTCAAAAAGTGGAGTAACACTTATCCTTGTGTAGCTGCCTGAAAAGACGTTCATTGCCATATCATGCATGGCAATTAAATCTGTATTAGCTTTATGCTATGCTTTTTAAACATCTTTGCTCTACCTTAGAGAAACTCTCTTAGACTTGGAATAGACTAAATTAACATAGATCATTGTGCTTCTGAGATCCCTTCTGTTGTTTCTAATAAAAAATTCTGATCTTATCTTACAGAGACCAGGAACAGCAGATTCTGTTTTGTCAGAGCCTGTTAGTCCACGGCCACATACCAGCAACACTCTAGTTCTACCAAGGTTGGTGAGCTTAAATTTTGGCAGTGATTCATTTTAAACTGCAAGTTTTAACTTTAAATGTGTATGATTGGCCAAATGTGGTTGTTAACGGTATCCTATTCTTATAATCTTCTGGACAACATAGACTTGAACTCTTTCAAAAGCCATGACTCTCTTTCTTTGTTGTAATGGTAGTAGCTTTTCTGCAAATCAACATTGAGATGAATTACTTAGATATTTTTTTTTCTTAAAATGATTAAGAATTTGTTGCATGAACTATGGTCTGTGGAAATTTTTGGTATTTTAGTTTGAGTATAACAGTTTATTTTATCCATTGCTGTAGGATTACCCCAGGGGATAGTGGGAGCCCAGGAAAAAGCACTGGCAAAGAAGGAATGCCCACCATAACGGAACAGGATGAAGAGGATAATGGGCAGGGTGAAGGTGTCAGGGAAGAGGTCACCACCCCTGATAAAGAAAGGTCCCAGGAACAGGTAGAGGAAGGGTCCATACCAGTTGTGGATCCACAATTAGGAGAGCAAGAACAACCCACAGAAGAGGAAGGTGAGCCTATTTTCAGAGAGGAAAAAATAAATATTGACTGTTAGAATGTGTTAACATTCATTTAATGTCCATGGTGGGTTCATATGGTCTGAGCATCTCCCCCATCCCAGATTGATTCCCAAACTGGTCAGCTGTTGTCCCTTACTCCTCCCAGGTACATGTACCTGCAGTTTGCTAACAAGTTGATGTTAGAATGGTAGTGAGATTGACAACCTCATTAATTATTTAGTTTAAACAGAGAATATCATTTTTATTTTTTCTATGATTATAAAATGTTTCATTTATATTTTTTAGTATGAAACATTGACCCTTAATAAACCACAGCAGATTTACAGAGTTTTTATCTATTGAAATTTTCATTATAAGGATAATTTTTCCCCCAAAATGTTTTAAACATCGAATAGAAGGCAGTAAATGATAATTATGATATCGTCTAGTAAATAAATTCTTCCAATTCATACATGTCACCACCAAAACCAAACAAAACAACCTGCTGAAAATGAACTGTTTGATTTCAATTGGCAAAACAGTGACCAGAGGTTACTTAACATATCCTGCTGGGAGGTTTTGTAAGGTCTTGAAATTGGAAACTAAAAGTATGTAAAATACTCTGCATGAGGTTAATTAGTGGCAGTTTCTGGTCTATTGTGGATTCCATGTCTCTCCAATGATATTGCTGGTTTGTGATGTCCTCCTGTAATTTGAAGCTTTGCCTAATTAATAATAGTAACCTTGAAGTCATTCAAATGATGAATTTTTAATAAACTTTGTGTCTATGCTCTCATAGCAACAGTGTACAGTGTTTAAAAAGCCAAAAGTTTTACTCATGGTAGTAAAGATGCAGTAGTGAGCATGGCTACCATACTGTTCTAATATTTTCTTCGATATTGTGAAGAAACTACACAATTGAGTTGTGAAACCCTTTGTAAACATTCAAGGTTATTTTGTTTCAAAGATGCCAGCCTACTCCAAAAAACCTAGTTCTAATGCTTACAACAGTCTCATGAGTACATTTTCAAGAATTTATAACTTACTGGATCATCCATCCAAAGACAACTATACAAGCAAATACAGTCGGTACAATCTATTTGTAACTGGCACTGCATGCAATAGTGAAAGTGTAGATGATGGTAATCACAGTGACAAAGAAGCTAAAACAGGTCAGTTGATGGTTAGTGAAGGCATGTCTAAAGAACACAGTTACTGTTGCTGTGTTAATGGACATATTTCTTGTGGCATAGTTGGTTTTTGTTATTATTAGTTAAACTAAGACAAACTTACTACCTGAAACTTGTTTTACTTAAATTTGTATTTCAGATCTTTATTTTCTGTTACATATCACTGAGTATTTTCAATTTTTGACTTTCAATTTTTTTTTAATCAATGAGTAATACTTCATGCAATGCTATAATAATACTTCTTGAAAACTGTTTGATCTAGTTTGCCCAACTGAAGTTGAATATTCAATACCAAGGACTATTTATGATTTTCTGAATTTTTCAGAGAATATTCTAATACTAATTGAAATGTTAGTTTTTCTTTTTTGAGTTTTATTAACTTTTTGCATGAAACAGTGACCCCAAACCAATTTTTTT